TTCATTATTTAAGAAAAATAGGTAACATGAATGTGTGGATTTAATTCATTCAAATATGGGTAAATTTCTAAAGTACAATTCCTGGACAGAAAGATTGATTAATTGTTGGTTGCTTAAACGCCCAGTGGCAAAACGTTCATGCATTTTTAGAAAGATGGAGAGAAAAACAACGTTGGGCCAATGAATGAAGATACGTCGGGCCATTGTTGTGCCATACAAATGTTGTCTGTGACGACTAGGTTAAATTTGGGTTCCAGATTGGTAACACAAGGTTCTATAAAGGTTCCTGATTGGTTACACAGGGTTCTATCAAGGTTCCAGTTTGGTTACACAAGGTTCTATCAAGGTTCCAGATTGGTTACACAAGGTTCTATTAAGGTTCCAGATTGGTTTTTCATAACGTTATATCATAATGTTCTTATAACGTAACTGGTAGTCCACACTATTACGTTCCAACAACGTTAAATCACAACGTTCTCACAACGAAACAGAAACGTTCTAGGAACCTTTCCTGAACGTTTTTGTGTTTTGTGGGTAGTCAATAGAGATAATGGAAAAGCATCTCAAAATCGTCGACTGATTGAAGTACAGCTTACAAGAATACATTCAATTACAAACAAAGTACTATGTAACACCATTTTTAGATTTTTCACTAACTTTTAAAGACATAGAAAGCCCTAAAAAGGCTCTCCCTAACTATACCTGTGAATTGCGTGAAAGGTTAGGAGTCAGACCATCATTACTGATATCGTTTAAATAGAAAATCAATAAACATAATTTGAATAGGGGAGTTGTCCATACCCAGACTGTCTATGTATGTACACAGACTTCCGATGTAGTACTGCATGCTTTCTTTTATTTGGTTGGTTTCCTGCTAACATATCTTAATTTTTATTGGTATTTTACCTGTGTCGGCGACGGCTCAGGCATGCCTAGTAACCGGTGGACTCCGTCCGTCCGTCCTTCCGTCTGGTCTGTCTAAGAGAATCAACACACTCGTCAAAGTTTTCTTGGCTTCTATGAACGGGAATGATTTAATATGTGATCAGCAACTTGACAATGTTGAGTTGTGGCGAGTAAACAGTTTTTAAACTTGTCGTGAAGCCACTTCCTGTTTGCCGATAATTACAAAACTCAATGTCCAAGGAAAATTATTGTAAAATTGTTGAAATGAATGATTCTAAAAATTGATATGGGAATGATCAGTTATGCTCCGGTATACATGTTACCTCAATAAATTGTATACAGCGACTCAGATCCAGACTCGGTATTGGTCTTGTCCTCAATTGATAGAAAATGCAGTTAAACAGCAAAATTCAATCTTATTTCACGCTTCATTACCCTTTTGCTTGCAGACGCTATTGTTATGAAGTCTCTCCTATTAGTATTGTTTTATAAGAAAAAATAATCTCGTACTCTCTAATTTTCTTCCAGACATCTTGAAAGTATGAAAAACGTTCTCAATTAAACATAAAAACGTTCTCTATATTGTATATACACACGTTTTTTTTTACAAGCCGACACCTTATCAGGGACACAATTTGCTACATGACACTGCTGCCTCTATAGAAAATTTCCGCATGCCTAAACGAATGGCCGACACAAATAGAAATGTTTACTTATTCTTACGGCTAGCCATACAAATAAATATTTCTGCGTCCTTATAGAACTCGTTCTTTAAAAAGATCAAGAAACGTACATTTCATGTGGAATATAACATTTTAGGACTTTAGGTAGCACAATACAAAAGCAACTAAATTTTATCAAAATTTCATTTTCAGCTGTTTTTGCTACTTCTTGATATTCAAAAACCACAGAAGAAAAAAATATTTACATATCTTGCATTGTTAATGAGTTTTGATGATAATTAGTTTTATAAACAAATGCACGTGTCTGACTGATACAAGATAAGAACATGTGGGCAGTACTAGGTGGTTAATCAATAGAATCATTTGATAGCTTTACGACAACTGACCAGCAATAAAAATAACAGTTATGAAAAAGAGGTGGATAAGGGATTTATGGAAAAATGAAGAGAATGAATTCCAAATAAAAATACATTTCTGTATTGGAGCTGCCAGGAGAAAAAACAAAACAACTATTTGGAGCTATAGAGGGAATCAAAATATAAATGTACAGATATTAAATAAATATAATTGTACAACAATAAATGTTGATTATGTTTATACTAGAATTTCTTAAGGAGAATGTTTAAATATTAATTCTGTTTAAAAGAAAATACAAATTAAATGTTTCATTTTCAAACTGCAAAAAATGAAAACAATCTACTTTGTGTAAAACACCATATTGTCATTGTATACAATTATAATTTTAGAAATCCCCCATAAGGATCTTCTAGACTGACCAACTGATCATTTTGTGTACACATGCATAACTTACTTTTTGTAACAATGAAAAAAACAAAATATATCATTTTATGTACTAAAAGAATAAAATCCATATTGAAAAAAGTAAATGTAATGTGCAATTAAACTTCTGAGATCATTAATAGTAAAGGTTTATCATGGTGGGCGGAGTTTTGACCATATCAGTAGCAACTGACTTACAGCAAGGTCAATAATGATATAACATCTCCCGCCAGATCTGATTTTTGATGCATAGGGGTGCATTTTCTTTATATATTTAGAATTGCTGAATTGGAATGCTTTCGAATTCTTACTGGTCAAAACCTAATTGATTTATGATTCAAGGCCAATCCTGAAGTATCCCCATGATACATTTGTGAATTATATTGAAGTTAATGGGGTACAAGTAGGAAGATCCTTATTTATTAAATTGTGACACATTAATTTTTGTCATGAAAATGTATTTTTACATGAAATTAGCTCCTAGATGGGTGCCCCTATATGCCTGATTTTCACACATGTTGTTCCTTGACCAGTTATCTTCAAAAGAGTGTCTCAGATTTCCAAAAACATCAATAGAACAAACTTTATACCCAATTTAATTTAGTGATCTCTTATGAATTGAGGTTGCAAACATCATTGAAGGTTTATGAGAGAATGAAATACAATAGGAAAAATCTGAGACAACCTTTTGGAAGTCAAACTGTGTTTCACAAGAATCTATAAAATATTTTGGGATGGTATGAATAACAAAGAAGCTATTTTCATTCAAGTGTGGACATCACAATATAGCAACTAGTTACATAATAATTAATTATGTAATAACCATGTCATAATGAAATAATCACCATTTGAAAGATCAATCTTTCTTCTTTCTTTTGATACCTCATTTATAAAATTTGAAGCTGGATGAAAGAAATTACATCAGTTTAAAATTGTCTGATTGGGGGTGAAAAAATATTTATATTGTGCTACCTTAAATCCAGGTTTTCACAAACTTTTAATGTTACACGACTTTATTCTATAAGACGTAGTTGTATCAGCTCAACTTTCTGTAAAATTTGTACACAACTTTTCCTGTTATCACATAAGGATCCGAACTTAAAAACTGAAAATTCATTAATTTTAACATTACAACAATATTTTCCTTTTATCCATATCCGACAACACCTTCAAATCAAAGGTATTAGTCATATGATTGTTGGTTGGTCTAAACCTGATGGTCTATGTGAGGAATCCTGGTCTATGTGAAGAATCAACAAAGGACTCTCTCTCCAATATTGTAGACAAGAATTTAATTCATTACAATAGTTTTTTTTTTTTTTTTTGTTGATTTGGTATTGCTGATAATTTTTCTGTTTAGCGTCTCTCTATCTCTGAATTTTTGCTCAAAACACAAAAGAAGGTAAACACATTCCACGTTTCCATTCTCAATTCTATTCCACGTTTCCATTCTCAATTCTAATACAAAACCCTTGATCTTATGAAAATTGTATATCCTTTTTTACCTAAAGAAACGAATTCCCTTAATTATCTTCACTTATGAATGAACGTATTACTAAATTAAAAAAAAAATCCACTAAAATTTTTTGAAAGCTCAGAGTACCTCTAATGCTCGCTGATGAGCAAACCAAATAACTACAGTGAAAGCAGTAAGTTTTAAACTAAGTTTCTTTTGGAGGGAACGATCGACACAATAACTTTATTTTTAACGAATTTACAAATATGCAAGTGCATTACAAAGCTACGAAACTGTATGGTGGATCGTCCTGAATTTGCCCTATTGTTTTCATACTCATCCTGTGGTCTCTGGTGGATGATTGTCTCAATGGCAATCATACAACATATCATGATACTGATAATAATAAATTTTTCTTGACTGGACTAACATTTATTGACGGTCTGAAATTATCGAAAAGTAACAAAGTTTAAAAATTGAACCAAATCAAATATAACATAATGAATGCTTTTAACAGAATGACTGTCAGAAGAATTAACGTTATTCATCTTCTTTTGAAAAAAAAACCTTCACTATAATGTGAAACAAATTAAAAATGAAATGTAATCTAGTGCGTCATTTATTCAAAAAATAAATTTTAACTACACTTGTCAATTCAGGAAAGAAGGATGCAAATAATTAATTGCCAGTCCAGGTTATGGATTATTCCCACCTTTCGAAATAAAAAACTTCATACAAAAAAGTTTACTCTACTGACATTTGTTTCAAGACAAAAAGAACCTACGGTAAATCCAATTTGAAATATCAAAACTGACCAAAAATACTCTACCAAGTTTAATGAGCTATTAGACAATTGTTTTATTTTAATAACTAAACAAGATGGTATTATTACATTGTTTTTAACATTGTGTAACAAAAGTATTTTGAAATTTATTATTTTAACTAGTAAATTAATGTGTCTGGTCAATAAGTTGAATGTGTCGTAAAATCATAACACAGTTTAGTATAACATTTACATTGTATATTTATTCAGTCTCTTTAACACACAGACAATATTGATATGATTTTTTTTTATCTTGCAATTATATCTAATGATAACAGTTCCTTAGAATTAATTATATAATTAGCAGAAATCTTTTATTATTTTATCATGCACACCTTACATCTAATGTATATTATTTGTGTTTTTGTAACAAATGTACAATATTAATATGATTTTCTCTCCTTGCAATATCTAGTGGTGTTAATCCTCTCCATTTAATGTTACAATCTGCTTCATGTTTTAATAACAATTCAACAATCTCTGTATGACCATAATAACACGCTATAACTACAGGGGATTCTCCCGTTCTCATACTCTTATTTATGTTAGCCTTATTGTTTCTTAACATCTGTACTACTTTGGTATGTCCTTCCTGACAGGCAAAGAACAGAGGTGATGCTCCATAATCATTGCACTTATTAATGTCAGCCTTATTGTTTATTAACATCTGAACTACGCCAGTATGACCTTTATAACAAGCTCCAAATATGGGGGATTCTCCTGTTCTCGTACACTTGTTAATGTTAGCCTTATTATTTATTAACATCTGTACTACTTTAGTATGTCCTTCCTGACAGGCGAAGAACAGAGGTGATTCTCCAATATCATTACACATATTAATGTCAGCCTTATTGTTTATTAACATCTGAACTACTTCAATGTGTCCTTTCTGACAAGCAATGCTCAGACTTGATGCTCCATTGTCTCTACACTTATTTATGTCAGCCTTATTGTTTATTAACATCTGTACTACTTCAGTATATCCTTCCTGACAGACAAAGAACAGAGGTGATGCTCCATTATCTCTACTCTTATTAATGTCACCCTTATTGTTTATCAACATCTGTGCTATTTCAGTATGTCTTTCCTGACAAGCAATGTACAAAGGTGATACTTCATTATAGTCACACTTATTAATGTCAGCCTTATTGTTTATTAACATCTGAACAACCTCAGTATGACCTTTATAACAAGCTTCAAATATGGGAGATTCTCCTGTCCTCGTACACTTGTTAATGTCAGCCTTATTGTTTATTAACATCTGTGCTACTTCAGTATGACCTTCCTGACAAGCATTGAACAGAGGTGATTCTCCAATATCTGTACACTTATTAATGTCAGCCTTATATTTTATTAACATCTGTACTACTTCAATATGTCCCATCTCACAAGCAATACACAGAGGGGATGCTTCATTATCTCTACACTTATCAATGTCAGCATTATTGTTTATTAACATCTGTATTATTTTAGTATGTCCTTTTTGAAAAGCAATGCACAGAGGTGAAACTTGTTCATTATCACGCTTATTAATGTCCACCTTATTGTTATTGTGCATCTGAACTACTTCAATATATCCTTTCTCCCTAGCAATGAAAAGAGTTGATGCTCCATTATCTCTAGAATTATTATTGTCAGCTTTATTGTTTATCAGCATCTGTACTACTTCAGTATGTCCTTCCTGACTGGCAATGTACAGAGGTGATACTCCAGTATCTATACACTTATTAATGACAGCCTTATTGTTTATTAACATCTGTACCACTTTTGTATGTCCATTCCGACAGGCAAAGAACAGAGGTGATATTCCATCATGACGACAATGGTTTACATTACTAGTACAACGACCTAAGCACCATTTAACCAAATCAATATCTCCTTTATAACAACAATGTATTAATGCAGTGCTATTGTATTTTGTGTCGTATAGACTAGCCAATTCCTTCTGTTGTGATATTTCCAAACCGTTCACATGTTCAAGTATTCTTTGTCTGAAGATTAGATCATCCATATTGATGTTACAGAAGACATCTACTACCTTTCCTCTCAACCAGTCGTCTTTCAATCTGTGTATATACATTTGCTGATAACATTCTGATACAGCTATTAAAAATTCATCACTTTTGCCTTTTTTTTCAAAAACAAATCTTTCACGAATAAACTGACTTGAAGCATTATTAATTACGCAATAAATCAAATCGCTGCCAAAGTAAAAAGCAAGAAAGTCAAAAAGCTTGTCATGAATAGTTCTGTACACTGCACCATCCTTTCTGATAAAAGTTTGAGTAAGTGTATCAGCTCATCACGAAGCACCAATCGAGATGTTCCTTTAACCACTTTACAAGCTTCATATGTGTTCTTTATAATTGTGTTGATATCTTTATCGACATCTTCTGTGAGCCATTCTTCTTTAAAATGATTGTTAAACATTACACACAGAGCAAGTGCACAGTATTTGACATGTGCTCCCTCTGCCTGTAATTTATCTATCTCTTCTTTGTAAACTGTAAATGGATTCTTAAAGAAATCTACCAAGCTCAGATTTGTGTTTTTGCTATATAATTGACATAAAAGAGGAAAACAGTCAAACATGTCATAAAATTCCTCGATCTTAGAGGCGTTTGTTTTCAAGTAAAGTTCAGCGATAGATTGTTTTTCTGTTTTCGATAAACGTAAATCTTCAGACAAAAGATTACATTCACAGGATTGATAAAATGATACAGATTTCATTTTTTCATCTTTGCAAACCTGTAGTCTACAAGACATGATTAATTTAACTGGTTTCTTTTGTACTAATGTCTTGATTTTTCCCATCAAATTTTTCCAGCTTTCCAACTTCATAAGATTTATGGTATATGTTCCACAAAAGTCATCCACAACAAACAAGATTTTCTTACTTGGGTTATACCACTTAATGATTTCTTCAGGGTTTGTTACCGGTAAAATATCATAGCCTCCTTCTTGCATTCGTAGAGCAACATGACGCACCAATGATGATTTTCCTGTTCCCGAACTTCCGGTGACAACAACACAACTATTTTCTTTGATACATTTTAATACACTCTTTGATCCATTTGTTTCTATAAACATTTTTCCATCTTCTGTCCAAGTTTCCAATTCCTCTTCAATTTGACCTAAAAATAAAGGATTTGATATTTCTTTAATATTTACACTTTTTTATGAGACGGACTACTGTGACCTTTACAAAGTTTTTGGTCTTGAACTTACCTCATGACAGATTTTCCTGAATAAATGATATGATATGATTTCGATCCAAACAATATCTTTTAATATAATCAACTTCATCAGGGATACTCAAGACCTACAACTTGAAAATCTCAAACGTTTAAGGGCTATTTTCACTTATTGTTGTGTACAGTTTGTTTTGTGTTGTTCTGTTGCACCAGCGAATCAAGCTTAGCAGCAGGGTTTGGACCTCACCAACATGTACATCATATTTGTTTTTCGTTTGTAGTTTGTTCACAAGTCAACAACAATCCTATCTGGTATGAGAGCTTTTTGTCAAATGGTTTCTGAGAAGTTGCTTTCACAAGGTGACACCATTATAATTCCAAAAAATAGTTTGCAGTCCCATAACTTCAGTAAAAATGGTTGGATCAAAATGACGGCATAATATAGTCAACTGCACAATGATAACAACAAATCCTATCAAATATGAGAGGTGTCTGTAAGACAGTCTCAGAGGATTTATGTTCAGAAGGCATTATTGTCACAATACTAAAACAGTGGAAAAAAGTTCCATACTCCCGTAAAAATATGTGAATCAAAACTATTATAATACGTTGAACTACACATGAGGGCCTACAATAAGACCAAGTATTAAAGCTTTCTTTCAAATGGTCCCAGCGGAGTTCCTCCAAAAGATGACAGCATTGCAATACCCCAGTCAATAGCCAAAGTCCCATGATGTTTGATCAAAATGTATACATAGTCAACTACATATGATGGCAATCAATCCTACCAAATATGAACAGTTTCTGTACAAGGGTTTCCCAAGAGATGCATTCACAATTACCTATTGTCACAACACTCAAAAATGGTCACAGTTCAATAACTCTCCTAAAAATGGTCCATTCAAAATGATGGTACGATGTTGTCAACTACACATTATTGAAAATAATCTTACCAAGTATGAGATCTTTCTGTAAAACGGAACAAGATTCAGCAGAGGAATTGACTTCATAAGATGTTATTGTTACACAAGTAAACTAAAGTAAAAGTTATAAAGACCCTGTGTTGCTTACCTAGGTTTATGTGCAATTTCAACAATGGATACTCTCCAACATTGTGAACTAGAGTAGATTTCATGAAAACAAAATTGATGATTTTACATTAATAATATTTTTTCCCCACTAAAGTTTCTCACTATCTTCTTTAGTTTTTGCCCAAAACAAAACAAAAAGGTAAAAACAAAACATCATTTTTAAAGGTAAATCTGTCCTATTAAGAGTTTACTAAGATTTTTGGCAAAATTTGACTTATTTGAAGATCATGTCTTGCTGATAATTTTTGCTATTTAAAGTGTCTATTTGTCGTTTATACTTTTAAAGATAATAGGCAATATAATACTACGCAAGGTCCAGTTTGATACAACCGCCAATGTCAAACACTTAACATTCAAGCTTGATAAAGCTCTGAATCTGGATTGTGATGAAATATTAAAATATCAGTATAGGATTCTGACACATAACGAATGTGGTCTAAGAACTTAAAAATTAGAAATTTTACATTTACCTATTATGTACCAACTTAAAATATATAAATCCATGGTAAGATTAAGCATAACAAAGAACCCTAAGAATTCAATTTTTGTGGAATAAAACAAAACAAAAAGTTAAATTGAGGACCATTTGCACCTCAATATAGAACAATTTAAAAAAGGGGCCCGAAATCCAAAATCTAAATACATGGTTAGATTCAGCATATTAAATCACCAAAAGATTTCATGACTTTGAATTAAATCCCATTGAAATTGGTAAAAGAAAATAAGCAATTTGTACAAAGTTAAAAATAGTATTGTATTTTGCCCCTTATTCCAAAACGTTTAGGGCAATTACCATCAAAATCAATCGCAGCTTTCAGTTTTTGTTACAGAACCATTGGGGTACAATTTAATAGAGATCCATAAACCTATACACAAGTTATTGTCCGGAAACTAGAAAAATGTTTGCTTTTTACCTTTTTTGGACCAAATTCTCAAACAGTTAAGGCCAAAACCCCTAACTTCAATTCGAAACTTTCCTAATGTGTGGTATGGAACATCGTGGTTCAATTTCATATAGATCCATACACTTATTCGGAAGTTATTGTTTGTAAAACAACTGTCTTTGGAAGAAGATGATGACATCGACATACCTTTATAATGCCGCATTTTTTTGCTGTCGTATAAAAATTCTAAATATTCGTTAAAAATGTTAAAGAGCAAGATCTCCAATAAGTAGTCGACTGACAATTTTGGCAATGTTGAACAGTTTTTAAAATAATAGGCAAACTTTTAAAAAATCTTCATTTATAGGCAATAACTCCTATTAGAAGTACACTGACAGTTTTGATGTATAAACAGACAGTAGGTAGATCTAAAAAGTCTGAACATTTTTGTCTCGTTCAGATTTTCTCTATTTACAGTGATTTTCACGAAAATAGACAAAAATTGTATTTTACTACCCCTGTTCTAGCCATGTCTGCCATGTTGGTTGGCAAGCGGGGTCATCAGATATATTTTTTTAAACTAAATACCCCTATGACGATTGTGGTCGAGTTTGGTTAAATTTAAACAGTAGTTTTAGAGAAGAAGATTTTTGTTAAGGTTATCGGAAGATAACGGACACTAAGTGATAAAAAAATGTCAATTAGTCCTTTGGTCCACAGTCCCTTAACTCCTGTACAAATTGTCAAAAATTGTCAAGACAATGTGACGATAAATAATCCTACATAAAAATGAAAGCTTTATGTCAAATGGTCTCTGAATATTGAAGCGTTTGGGATGAATGGACTGACGGACAGAGATCATTATCATTTTGTGCCTAAGGGTAACACACAGAGGATACAAAATGGCAATGTTGTTTCCTCTTGAAATGATTGTGTTTTTAATTCAGTTACATGTACTACAATGAAAGATAAAATTGAGAATGGAAATGGGGAATTTGTCAAAGAGACAACAACCCGATCAAATAGCAGAAAACAACCGAAGGCCGCCAATGGGTTTTTAACACAGCGACAAAATCACCCACCCGGAGGCGTGCTTCAGCTGGCCCCTTATCAAAAATGTGTACTAGTTCAGTGATAATGGACGTCATACACAACTCCGAAATATATATATCAACTGAAATTTAAAATCATACAAGACTAAGAACATGAACAAAGGTCAGAGTCTCCTGACTTTGGACAGGTACAAAAATGCGGCGGAGTTAAACATGTTTTGTGAGATCTCAACCCTCACCTATACCTCTAGCCAATGTACAAAAAACAAACACACAGAAATACGCACAATAAAACTCAGTTTGAAAGATTTCCGAGACCGATGTCAAAATAGGTAACAAAATAAACTAAACAAAATGACAATGATACATAAATTAACAAACGACTACTAGCAGTTACTGACATGCCAGCTCCAGACCTCAATTAAACTGATTGAAAGATTATGCCTTCATCATATGAATATCAAGCACAATCCCTCCCGTTAGGGATTTACTATCATACCATCATAACATATATGAGAAAAACATAACCCGTATCATGCCAACAACTGGTTTTAGAATAAATGTGTTTATTTCCGATGAAAAGACCCTATAAGTGAATCAATATTAAGGCCAAAATATGCCATCTTTAATGACCTGACAACAGTATCGTTACTATATCCCTTCTTAATAAGTCTGTTTAAAGGTTTTGTTAGCTTTTGAGGTGAATGCCGACAATTTTGTGCGTTGTAAAGAATATTACCATAAAAGATTGGATGTGAAATACCTGAACGTATAAGGTGTCTGCATGTTGATTTATATTTACAAATGATGTCCTTGTTCCGATAATAAAATTTAGTAAATGTTTTGACTAGTTTGTGATATCGAAAACTTTGGTGAAATAATTTTTCAGTAATACATAGATTTCTTTCGTTGAAATCAAATACCTTTTTACATACACGAGCGAATCGAACAAGTTGAGATATATAAACACCATAAGATGGTGACAAGGGAACACCACCATCTAAAAATGGGTAATTAACAATAGGAAATGAAAAATTATCCCTTTTATCATAAATGTTAGTATTAAGCTCCCCGTTGATGATATAAATATCAAACTCCAGGAAAGGGCAGTGTTCATTGTTAGTATAAACATTATTTAAAGTTTGTTTAACAGGATAAATGTCTTTAGTGTACATACTGAAGTCGTCATTATTACCAATGTATCATTCAAATATCTAAACGCATTATTAGATTTTTTATCAGATGTTGTTTCGATAATTATTTGCAGATTTTAGTCATAAATTGTAACTCATAACAATACAGAAACAGGTCCGCAATAAATGGTTGTGAGTTCAAACCTCGGACGTGGCAGATGCGCTTGACTCCAATCCTACTTGACAAGGATTGTCAGTTTTTTCCGACCGAAGATCGTTGGTTCTCTCCGACTTCCTCCACCAATAAAAACTGACCACAACAACATGGTAATTGTACTGAAAGTGGCGTTTAATACCAACCAATCAATCAATCAAATCAGGAGCCTCCTATTCATTTGTTGTCGTCTGCTGCTCTCATTTATGAATGCCATACATTGACTTATATTTGCCTAAATCTACTTTATTTGGACTCTGATGGATAGCTGTTTCGTTGGCTATTATACCACATTGCTTTATTTTACATTAATCACAAAAACTTAAATTTGACCAACGACCCTATAAAAAAAAGTTGAAGGTTAGGTGAACCCTGTTGGACTGACATGCATGTACACCTTACAATGAATTCATACACCAAATATAGTTGACTTATTGCTTATAGCATCTGAGAATGGAACCGAATCAGGAATCTGTACCATTGACTAATGAACCATGAAAATGAGGTCCATGCACGACTGACATGTACACCTACACATACAATCATTCAAAGTTTTTCCAATTATCATCTGGAATTATTTGAATTTTTCAAACAATCAAGAATCACAACACATGAACAATAAAAGTGAAATGACTAAACTTTAACATAATTTATGTGGTCCAGAACATACATTGAAACAAATCAATCAATTTGTAAAGCACTTCATGTACATGTTTATTTCAAGGGCAATAACTTCAAAACAGATAGACTGATTTTAATAAAAATCATCACTGGACGTTAAGTAACCAAAAATCAATCAATCTAAAGTTCACTGCTGATAAACGTTGTTGTGCTCATCACTACTTACACTTTTAACCTAGCTCTTCTTTTTCGCAATAACAGTCAAAACTGCAAAAACCAGATATTTCAGGGGCAATAACTCAAAACAGATAATAGATTTTTCTGTAATCTCTTGTTGAACTGATCACTTTTACTGCGTTCAATTTTAACCTATCTCCTATAATTTTAAAGATGACGACTGTGAAAATTGATTTTCACCTATATTTTGGGGGCAATATTCCCATATGGTCTTCAGATTTTTCTGAAATTTTTCAGGTAGATAGAAGATGCTATTTTGAGGATTTTTGCAGTTTCAAAAAAGGTTTTCAACCTAGCTTATATATTTTTCTTCGAAACAATGGCTCAGACATACCAAACAGTTAAAAATCATCAATTCAGGGGCAACAACTGCAAAACAAAACAGGAAGACAGTTTTTGTAAAATGTTTAGGGTTGATACAGTTTGTAATGCTCACCATTTTTACCCTGTCAGTTTTTCTCAACTGGCTCTTGTTTTCAAGATATTAGTCAAAAACTCTAGTTTGACTCCTATGTTATATTTGTAGCTATGTTGATTGTACAGACTGGATGACAATAAAACCTTATAGTTGACATCCTATATATGAACAGACAGACTTTGGTTTCAATCAATTGTACAGTTTTAGAGAAGATTTTTAAGAAAAATTAGTGTGATGAAAGACTCAAGATAAAACAAAAGTTGCATTTTACGTTCCATTCTTACTAATGACAGTCATGTTGGTTTGTAGAGAGGATCATCAGACACAATTTTTGAACTAAATGTGACGATTGTCACAAAGTTTGGTTCCATCTGTCCCATTGTAACTTTTAGAGAAGTACGTTTTAAACTTCAACTGACAACAGACGACCACGACTGACACCAAATGACAAGAATAGCACTCAGGTGAGAAAAAAAATACAAGAAATAGATTAAATTTTGGAAGTAAATAACCCTGTTTCACATCCTTAGCTACAACTCTACTTTTCTTGTCTAAATTTATATAAAACTATAAAATACCTCTGATGTTCCATGATATTGGGTCTTTCCAAAGCTCTGTGACTTCGGTGTGTTCAGTCTGTAAAGTAATGTAAGAATCCTTTAGCTTCCTTAGATTTCCTGTCACCTCTGAGTGTTCAGTCTGTAAAGTACTGTGGGAATCTTGTAACTTACTCAGATTTCCTGTCACCTCTGAGTGTTCAGTCTGTAAAGTAATTTGGGAAACTTGTAACTTTTTCATATTTTCTGTGACTTCCGTGTATTCAGTCTGTAAAGTATTGTGGGAATCTTGTAATTTCCTCAGATTTTCTGTCACTTCTGAGTGGTCTGTATCCACTGTTTGTCTAAGTTCTTTTAACCGATCCTGTAATTGTTTGATTTCCAGCATAATTTCCCGATTTGACTGATCTAAGATCTTCACCTTTAACTCTTGGCACTCTTGATTCATTTGCTGACCATCCAATCGACTTACAGCCTACAAAAGATATTTGGAAAAAAATAATTTTAATTCAAACCTCCATCTTAGTCTAATCAAAAGGACTTGACATATTGGTAACTTTACCATCTGTTTTGATTATTCTATGTAGCTAGTTACGTAATGTAATGCAATAACTCCAAATCATGTTTTTTTAAACTAGATACCCCTATGACGATTGTGGTCGAGTTTGGTTAAATTTAAACAGTAGTTTTAGAGAAGAAGATTTTTGTTAAGGTTATCGGAAGATAACGGACACTAAGTGATAAAAAAATGTCAATTAGTCCTTTGGTCCACAGTCCCTTAACTCCTGTACAAATTGTCAAAAATTGTAAAGACAATGTGACGATAAATAATCCTACCGAAAAATGAAAGCTTTATGTCAAATGGTCTCTGAATATTGAAGCGTTTGGGATGAATGGACTGACGGACAGAGATCATTATCATTTTGTGCCTAAGGGTAACACACAGAGGATACAAAATGGCAATGTTGTTTCCTCTTGAAATGATTGTGTTTTTAATTCAGTTACATGTACTACAATGAAAGATAAAATTGAGAATGGAAATGGGGAATTTGTCAAAGAGACAACAACCCGATCAAATAGCAGAAAACAACCGAAGGCCGCCAATGGGTTTTTAACACAGCGACAAAATCACCCACCCGGAGGCGTGCTTCAGCTGGCCCCTTATCAAAAATGTGTACTAGTTCAGTGATAATGGACGTCATACACAACTCTGAAATATATATATCAACTGAAATTTAAAATCATACAAGACTAAGAACATGAACAAAGGTCAGAGTCTCCTGACTTTGGACAGGTACAAAAATGCGGCGGAGTTAAACATGTTTTGTGAGATCTCAACCCTCACCTATACCTCTAGCCAATGTACAAAAAACAAACACACAGAAATACGCACAATAAAACTCAGTTTGAAAGATTTCCGAGACCGATGTCAAAATAGGTAACAAAATAAACTAAACAAAATGACAATGATACATAAATTAACAAACGACTACTAGCAGTTACTGACATGCCAGCTCCAGACCTCAATTAAACTGATTGAAAGATTATGCCTTCATCATATGAATATCAAGCACAATCCCTCCCGTTAGGGATTTACTATCATACCATCATAACATATATGAGAAAAACATAACCCGTATCATGCCAACAACTGGTTTTAGAATAAATGTGTTTATTTCCGATGAAAAGACCCTATAAGTGAATCAATATTAAGGCCAAAATATGCCATCTTTAATGACCTGACAACAGTATCGTTACTATATCCCTTCTTAATAAGTCTGTTTAAAGGTTTTGTTAGTTTTTGAGGTGAATGCCGACAATTTTGTGCGTTGTAAAGAATATTACCATAAAAGATTGGATGTGAAATACCTGAACGTATAAGGTGTCTGCATGTTGATTTATATTTACAAATGATGTCCTTGTTCCGATAATAAAATTTAGTAAATGTTTTGACTAGTTTGTGATATCGAAAACTTTGGTGAAATAATTTTTCAGTAATACATAGATTTCTTTCGTTGAAATCAAATACCTTTTTACATACACGAGCGAATCGAACAAGTTGAGATATATAAACACCATAAGATGGTGACAAGGGAACATCACCATCTAAAAATGGGTAATTAACAATAGGAAATGAAAAATTATCCCTTTTATCATAAATGTTAGTATTAAGCTCCCCGTTGATGATATAAATATCAAACTCCAGGAAAGGGCAGTGTTCATTGTTAGTATAAACATTATTTAAAGTTTGTTTAACAGGATAAATGTCTTTAGTGTACATACTGAAGTCGTCATTATTACCAATGTATCATTCAAATATATTAACGCATTATTAGATTTTTTATCAGATGTTGTTTCGATAATTATTTGCAGATTTTAGTCATAAATTGTAACTCATAACAATACAGAAACAGGTCCGCAATAAATGGTTGTGAGTTCGAATCTCGGACGTGGCAGATGCGCTTGACTCCAATCCTACTTGACAAGGATTGTCAGTTTTTTCCGACCGAAGATCGTTGGTTCTCTCCGACTTCCTCCACCAATAAAAACTGACCACAACAACATGGTAATTGTACTGAAAGTGGCGTTTAATACCAACCAATCAATCAATCAAATCAGGAGCCTCCTATTCATTTGTTGTCGTCTGCTGCTCTCATTTATGAATGCCATACATTGACTTATATTTGCCTAAATCTACTTTATTTGGACTCTGATGGATAGCTGTTTCGTTGGCTATTATACCACATTGCTTTATTTTACATTAATCACAAAAAACTTAAATTTGACCAACGACCCTATAAAAAAAAGTTGAAGGTTAGGTGAACCCTGTTGGACTGACATGCATGTACACCTTACAATGAATTCATACACCAAATATAGTTGACTTATTGCTTATAGCATCTGAGAATGGAACCGAATCAGGAATCTGTACCATTGACTAATGAACCATGAAAATGAGGTCCATGCACGACTGACATGTACACCTACACATACAATCATTCAAAGTTTTTCCAATTATCATCTGGAATTATTTGAATTTTTCAAACAATCAAGAATCACAACACATGAACAATAAAAGTGAAATGACTAAACTTTAACATAATTTATGTGGTCCAGAACATACATTGAAACAAATCAATCAATTTGTAAAGCACTTCATGTACATGTTTATTTCAAGGGCAATAACTTCAAAACAGATAGACTGATTTTTATAAAAATCATCACTGGACGTTAAGTAACCAAAAATCAATCAATCTAAAGTTCACTGCTGATAAACGTTGTTGTGCTCATCACTACTTACACTTTTAACCTAGCTCTTCTTTTTCGCAATAACAGTCAAAACTGCAAAAACCAGATATTTCAGGGGCAATAACTCAAAACAGATAATAGATTTTTCTGTAATCTCTTGTTGAACTGATCACTTTTACTGCGTTCAATTTTAACCTATCTCCTACAATTTTAAAGATGACAACTGTGAAAATTGATTTTCACCTATATTTTGGGGGCAATATTCCCATATGGTCTTCAGATTTTTCTGAAATTTTTCAGGTAGATAGAAGATGCTATTTTGAGGATTTTTGCAGTTTCAAAAAAGGTTTTCAACCTAGCTTATATATTTTTCTTCGAAACAATGGCTCAGACATACCAAACAGTTAAAAATCATCAATTCAGGGGCAACAACTGCAAAACAAAACAGGAAGACAGTTTTTGTAAAATGTTTAGGGTTGATACAGTTTGTAATGCTCACCATTTTTACCCTGTCAGTTTTTCTCAACTGGCTCTTGTTTTCAAGATATTAGTCAAAAACTCTAGTTTGACTCCTATGTTATATTTGTAGCTATGTTGATTGTACAGACTGGATGACAATAAAACCTTATAGTTGACATCCTATATTTGAACAGACAGACTTTGGTTTCAATCAATTGTACAGTTTTAGAGAAGATTTTTAAGAAAAATTAGTGTGATGAAAGACTCAAGATAAAACAAAAGTTGCATTTTACGTTCCATTCTTACTAATGACAGCCATGTTGGTTTGTAGAGAGGATCATCAGACACAATTTTTGAACTAAATGTGACGATTTTCACAAAGTTTGGTTCCATCTGTCCCATTGTAACTTTTAGAGAAGTACGTTTTAAACTTCAACTGACAACAGACGACCACGACTGACACCAAATGACAAGAATAGCACTCAGGTGAGAAAAAAAATACAAGAAATAGATTAAATTTTGGAAGTAAATAACCCTGTTTCACATCCTTAGCTACAACTCTACTTTTCTTGTCTAAATTTATATAAAACTATAAAATACCTCTGATGTTCCATGGTATTGGGTCTTTCCAAAGCTCTGTGACTTCGGTGTGTTCAGTCTGTAAAGTAATGTAAGAATCCTTTAGCTTCATTAGATTTCCTGTCACCTCTGAGTGTTCAGTCTGTAAAGTACTGTGGGAATCTTGTAACTTACTCAGATTTCCTGTCACCTCTGAGTGTTCAGTCTGTAAAGTAATTTGGGAAACTTGTAACTTTTTCATATTTTCTGTGACTTCCGTGTATTCAGTCTGTAAAGTATTGTGGGAATCTTGTAATTTCCTCAGATTTTCTGTCACTTCTGAGTGGTCTGTATCCACTGTTTGTCTAAGTTCTTTTAACCGATCCTGTAATTGTTTGATTTCCAGCATAATTTCCCGATTTGACTGATCTAAGATCTTCACCTTTAACTCTTGGCACTCTTGATTCATTTGCTGACCATCCAATCGACTTACAGCCTACAAAAGATATTTGGAAAAAAATAATTTTAATTCAAACCTCCATCTTAGTCTAATCAAAAGGACTTGACATATTGGTAACTTTACCATCTGTTTTGATTATTCTATGTAGCTAGTTACGTAATGTAATGCAATAACTCCAAATCATGTTGTCAAATGTTTACAGTTTACACTTTTAACCTAGCTTCTATATTTTTGAAAGTAGCAGCACACACTGTGAATATTGAAAACTAAGAATCTAAGGAGCATGTTACGCTCACCTTGGTCTATATAAATTTTAAATAATGGAGTCCACACTCTTCAATATCGTAGACTAGAATATTATTCATGACACAAAGTTTGGTTTATCTCGCATTGCTATTATTTTTTTCTGTTTACAGTTCCTCTTTGCCTTCTTTAGATTTTGCCCAAAGCACAAAAAAGGCTAAAAATAAATTTTTAGGGCAATAACTCTTATTAAGAGTTTACTAACGAGTTTAACAGAATTTGACTAATCTGAAGACATCGTCTTGCTGGTCATTTTTGCTGTTTACAGTAACTGTCTTTTATCATGTTATAGTTTTCAAGATAATAGGTAAAAACACAAAATTTTGGTAAAATTTGTCATTAAGAATAAAGAGTAAAAACTCAACTAAGGTTTTGACCATTTGTAGATCGTGTCTTGCTCATCGTTTTTGCTATTTCAAGTTTCTCTTTATCTGTTATAGTTTTTAAAATTATAGGCAAACACGAAAAAAATGGTAGAATTTGACTTTTAGGGCAAAAAGTCTAATTTATAAGATGTCGTCTGACAGTTTTTGGTGTTTATGTACATTAGGTAGATCTCAATATTTTTCCCACTTTTAAATGTACTCTATTAATAGCGGTTTCTAAGATAATAGAAAAACCTTGCATTTTACCCCTATGTTCTATTATTAGCCATGTCGGCAATGTTAATTGGCAGGTGGTGAAATCGGTCATATTTTTAAAACTGAATACCCTTATGGTTTCATTTTGGCCAAGTTTGATTATGGATACGGTATTGGTTTTCTCATTGTAGAAGGCCGCACAGTGATATATATTTGCTTTTTTCTTCATCATTTCAACCCTGGTGAATAGTTGTTTAATTTGCAATCATACCACATCACCTTATATATAAAGATAAATATTTCTGTTGTCAGTTTTTTTCCATTATTGCTATCTATATTGGAGATATGATCCAAAACTGTAGTTTGACTGGTTTGTCATTTTTTAGCCACAGTGGCCATGTTGGTTGATCAAGCTTTATATTGTTGCTCTCTTTCTCTTGATAGTTTTTGGAAAAAAGCTAGAGGCTCTTACGAGCATGTGTTTGTTACCGAGATCTTTGAGCATGTTTAACAAAAATACTTTTAGTGTATTGCTGATAATTTTGTCTGTTTACATTTATTCTCTATTTTGTTTAGTGTTGCAAAAAAAAAACGGTAAAAATTATCAATAAAGGCAATCGCTCTTCTAAAGAGTAGGCTAACAACTTCAAATTTTTTTTTAACTTATTTGTAGATCTGGTCATGCTGATCATTTAAGTTAATTGTCAAGATATTAGTCAAAAACGTAAAATATTTGCATGAATAGTCATTAATGAACAGGTACTCCTTAAATAAGTCGACTGATGATTTTTGGCTATCAAGTTAACATGTACATCAAGTCTTGCTGATCATTGTTTGCCAATTCAAGTTTGTATCTATCTATTATGGTTTTTTAGATATAAGGCAAAAACACAAAATGTGATAAAATTATTATAAAAGGACAATAACTCTAATAAGGGGTCGTCAGACGATTTCAAGATTAAAACTTATTTGTAGATCTTGACCTACTGATCAATTTTTCCAATTAAGATTTCTACCAATCTATAACTTTTTTAAGATATTAGGCAAAAACGAAAACAAACTGAAGAAATCTTCGTAAACGGGCATTTACTCCAATAAGGAGTCGTCTTACGATTTGTAGCTCTTGTCTTGTTGATCAATATGGGTATATAAAATTTCTCTTAATCTATTACAGTTTTGCAGATATTAGGCAAACATGAAAAAATCATAAAAATTCACCATTTTTGGCATTAACTCCTATAAAAAATCGACAGTAAAAATACAATATGTAGATGACATCATTCTGAACATTTTTCCCCTGACCGACTTTCTTTATTCGTATTTGTATTTAAGATAATAGAACAGACTTGCATTTTACCCCTTTTTTCTATTTGTAGCCATGTCGGTCATGTTGGTTGGCAGACGGGGTCATCGGACACATCTTTTAAACTAGATACCTTAAAGATGTTCGGTTAAATTTAGCCCAGCAGTTTCATAGGAAAAGATTTTTGTACAAATGACAACGACGGGACTGAACGAGGACGGACGACGACGACAGACTAAGGACGCCAATGACAGCTTTAAGGACAGGTGACCTAAGCATCAAATGGGTAAAGACAGATATTCAGGGGTTAAATTACTCCAATATAGGAGTCAGTTCACAATTTTTCTACCCTGTACTTCAAGTATACGTATTTATGATAACCTTGTCCCAAAGACACCAGCTTAATCAGATGTCAACAAATAAAAGTTGCAGTTTACTTAAGTGTTGGTATCAATTTAGTGATATATAATTAAAATTTTCTCTAATGAATTTCACGCACACCTATAATGTTATATGTTATAACATTTGAAGGCACTTGTGCATGAGAAAGGGAAAGCTCATACGCTGCATGCCTATGTCTTGCTCATTGAAAATTGTAAGTAAAAAAACAAATACATGTTGGATCAAGCATTTTGAAAAAAAGGAGGTACAAATTTATATATTCACTTAGGGCAGATTCCCTGGGCCCTCATAACTTGTCAATGATATGTACAAAAAAACTGATACTTATGTAACACTTACATCAGATATATTACTCCATGCTATATTGAAATCAACAGTGGTCATTTTGTTACTATCAGGATGAGCTAACATATTCCTGTACCATTTAATCCTTGCTAGATCAGCTCCTGGAGTTTTTTCCGCTGTTCCTGGTAGTCTGTTATATCCATTAATTGGCTGAGTAGCAGATGTCAAGTTTCTTATCAAGCAAATCATCAATGTTATATCAAAATTTGTAGAAACTGGTACACCTATAACATCAAAGGGCTTATAATTAAGTCCAACTGTAAAATCAAAAGTATTAGAATCAGGTACACTTGTAACATCAAAAGTATTAGAATTAGGTAATAATATTTGTTAGCATAAGTAATATTGCAAACAAAAATTTTGAACCTTATATCTGTAACTTGAACATTTAACTAAATTACTCAACTGGCTGTCAAAATCTTCCTTCAAACAATCAAACAGGCGCTGTTTAATTAGCAAGTAAATAGAACTAGAGAACTAACTATCTAAAACTGAACCTTGATTATACCAAATATCACGTAAACATATACTAAGCAACTTATTTTTAATTAAAGACAACCAATTTGTCTTATTAATTGGACATTTTGTAAATACTCATATAAAAAACAGTAACAGTTTGTGGTACATAACAGATTAAACCAGTATAGGAATGGAATCAGCTTCCTGTTGTACTCGTTCAAACACCATCAGTTTATAGTTTTAGGGAACAGCTCACTCCTGCTGTTCTCTGCACTATTGTTGAATAGCATTAATTAAGAATGTATTTTATTTTAATCACAAATTTGTTATTTTCATTGCACTAAATAATTATTTTCTATTTAATCTTGGGTACTTTGTTTTAAATAGACCAGGCATACAACAGTATGTTATCATTAGATGTCGATGGTTTATTTTGTAAAACCAATGAAAAAGATGAAGAAAAAACAGTTTCATCAGCAGAATTCATTGCTAGATATCAATCACACTCACACTCTATTTTGAACAGGTTCAACTTAGATTTATTGCTTTTTGGGTTGCTGTGGCCATATAAACATACCATTTCTTGGAAACAAAAGATTCCATTGAGCCTGGTACAAAAACCCCTTTGCTTTCAAGTCATAAAGAGTGTTGTAGTGTGTATTCAGCGTTGAAGGTAGATGAGTAGGTGGGAATTCTCTGTCAAAATAAGTACGGACTGCTCTTGGTGACACTCCTTTTAATAACAAAGCTAATCGTACATAATTCTCTTCTTCTTCCAAGAGGGGTGCCATCATTCTACTAATCTTTCTATTTACAATTGAAACCTATGCCATTCTTAATTCATGGTCCATGACATCCTGAAAAATACAAAATGATTATTAATAAGAAGATGCGGTATGAGTACCAATGAGACAACTGTCCATTTTGGAAGTCACAATGTATAAAAAGTTAACAATTATAGGTCAAAGTACGGCCTTCAACCAGAAGCTATGACTCAAACCGAACAGCAAGCTATGAAGGGTCCCAAAATGACTAGTGTATAACATTTCAAATAGGAAAAACCAACGGTCTAATCTACATAAAAACGAGAAACTAGAAATACTTATGAATCACACCAACAAACGACAACCACTAATCATAAGGCTCCTGACTTAGGACAGGTACATTACAATGTAGCGGGTTTAAACGTTTTAACAGGCACCAACCTTCATCCTAACATGAGGCAGTAGTGAAATAGTACAAAATAAAATGACACACTGTTAAAAATCAGTTGAAATGGTTTAACTCGATGTAAAAGACATTTAACAAAAACAGGTAATCATACACTGAACGAATAAGTTTAATCTATGACACAATTTAAACACAAAATTAAAACGTAGATGCCTATATAACATAGACGTTACAGATGGTTATAAAAAGATGTAGGAACAGTGTCAAAAAGACAACTCTTACCTGTCACAAAATGGTGTTAAATAAAACAATGTACACAGGTACATTTAAAATATAACAACTTTGTTGTTAGGAGTACCGACGTAAACGTTTTTTACAAAATTAATATTTTGTTTACAGAAGTACGGAAGTGAAAATTTATCGTCATACTAAATACTTACCAAAGGTGGTACATATTAAAAATATTTAGACGAGATATAACAAAAAATAAGTAAATATTGAATTACAGAAATGAATTAAAAAAAGTTAAATCACAAAAATACTGAACTCCGACGAAAATTCAAAACGGAAAGTTCCTAATCAAATGGCAAAATCAAAAGCTCAAAAAATCTAACGAATGGATAACAACGATCATATTCCTGACTTGGTACAGGTATTTCCTTATGTAGAAAAATGATGGATTGAACCTGGTTTTATAGCTAGCTAAACCTCTCACTTGTATGATAGTCGCATCAAATTCCATTATATTGACAACGATGCATGAACAAAACAAACAGACATAATATGTAAAAATGTCAAAAATAGGTACACAGCAGTCAACATTGTATTATAATCTTAATCACTGTTAAACAAAGAAGCACACAAAGGAAAATTGTGTCATCAGGTCAAATTAACATGAAAATACGATTTGAGAGTACTCGCAGTTACTGAAAGCTAGTTAAAAGCCAAAAACAATTCAAATATAGAATCATGCATCAAAGACTAGAATCATTTAAAACACATCTGAGGGATTTAGTGTTTAAACGCCAGTGACCGTAAAAGAAGACAGGACTTGTGGAATGTAAAATCGACAGGCTGTAGGATCAGTAGGATTTAACCTAATAATAAATATGTAGCATGTTATATATAGATAAAGCAATCTCTAAATAGAAAATAAACGTGGATGTGTATTTATACATCACAAAACCCAGTCGAAAAGATACAAATTTAAATATGTTTTAATTGGTTTATAACAAAATCGATGTTCGTGCCAATGTAAACAGTATTCAATGATCTTATCACAACATTAATAAGATAACCTTTACAAATAAGTTTGTTTAAAGGTCCAATCAGTTAACACGGATCACATATTGATTTCCGTGCTTTTAGTAAAATATTACCGTAAAATTTAGGATGTGAAATACAGGTACAGCCACATTTACTAATCATATCTTTGTATCTATTAAATAATTTAGTAAATGATTTAAGTAACTTATGGTAACGAGATCACTGATTTAATCATTTACGAGTGATGCATACTGATCTATACATGATATTTCAAAATAGCGAAACCTTAAGCATCGACAGAATAATAAGGTACATTTCCTTATTTTGAATATTGATTAGACTATTTCGCTCCTGTTGTATTAATGTACGTAGTGGCATGATTATTTTTCGTGTTCATATCATATATTGAACAGTCTTGCTTGGATTTGAGACAACTTTCTACTAGAGTCCAAATGACATGAATTTTAGTAACTATAGGTCACCATATATTGTACATGTATAAACAAAATCCATAAGGTGTTGTCAGTTTAGAGATATAAAAGTCCTAAACATGACAAAATATGAAAGAATTAAAAAAACAAAACCCATGATTGATAACAAAACAACACAAACCAAATGAAACAGACAGCAACCAACAGCAATCACTGAACTACTGACATAGAACTTGCAACACAAATATGGCGGAGTATAGCATTAAGTTTGTGAGTGTTCATCCCTTCCCCTTTTATATGACAATTGTGTTACTGCACAACATAAGAAAATATTGTAAAAAATCGAAAACTGACAACGCCATGTCTAAAAAAGAAATAGACAAACAGACAAACAATACAATTCCCTTTCAGATAAAACCCAGTTCAATATAACATTATGCTTGAGGTGATCAGCTATTGAATTTTTAAAAAGTTTTGTTGCATATTTGAATTATTTATTATTCGCCTTTTAGATATATGAAGTAATATCGTCATCAAATATAAATATATTACCGCCGCGGTGGGCTCATTGTAGAGTGTTTGACAGGAGTTGAAGAAGTCGTGGGTTCAAACTCCAGCCGGGGCTAACAAATCTTTGAAATTGAGAATTGTTACTTCTCGGCTAAACAAGCGTCATAAGGGAGTTAAGTGCAAAGACTGGTCAGCTTGGTTCAAACTACTGTGTCCGGGAAGACTGACACGATACATTATACCAGACAATTTCCTTGTAAAATAGCACCTCAAAAGTGTGTGTCTTATACAACATGAACAAAAAGTAAAATCACGACAATACTGAACTCCGAGGAAAATTCAAAAAGGAAAGTCCCTAATCAAATGGCAAAATCAAAAGCTCAAACACATCAAACGAATGGATAACAACTGTCATATTCTTGACTGGTACAAGCATTTTCTTATGTAGAAAATGGTGAATTAAACCTGGTTGATTTTTAACAATGCAGAGTTAATATTCCGCATGATATTACATTAACATGTTTTCATCCCGAATGCGCATTTAATTTTTCACTTGACACTAAACAGTCATCCATCATATCGACTAAAGATAATTATTCGTACTTCTAGTTTTTTTTGTGGTCAGGAATTTCAGAGTACAGCTTGATATGAATATAGTGGTTGAATCCTGAACAGTTGTGGCAGGTTTTGACATTACATTCAAGCTTAATACAGCCTTGAATTTGGACTGTGATTAAATATTTGACACACCATAGGTTTTTGATACAGAATGAATGTGGTCTGTGAATATGAAACTGAAAAATTTGAAATTGGACTTTTACCTATTATGGCCCAATATCCAAATTTACATATACAGTTTGATACAGCATATCCTAGTAAACCAAGATTTTTTTCAGTATAAACTGATTTGTTTAAGAGGTTCGCTACATCAAATATATATATATATATATAAAGCATTCTGAAAATTAATTTATACAGAACAACAAACAAACCTAACACAAAGTTCTTCAAAACATTAAAAGAAATATCTAATAATGGAGAGTAAATTTAGAACTACTTATATACATAATTTCTAAAATTCGAAGGTGATGCTACATTTGTTTATCTATTCTTGACTATGAATCTACTAACAATTTCTATTAATTGTGCAATACAGCTCTTAATTTGGATTGTGATTGAATATTCTTTCACATAGCATAGTTTTCTGACACACAATGAATGATGTATATAAACTTAAAATTTTGAAACTGAACATTTACGTATTATGGTCCAATAACAAAAATCTAAATACAAGGTTAGATTCAGCATACCATAGAACCCCAAGATTTCATTTTTTGATGAAATCAAACAAAGTTTTATTTTGGACCCTTTTGACCTCAATGTGGACCAATTTGATGATAGACCCTTTTTCCCGACACAGT